AAGGCCGAATCGTAGAGGGATTAGTTGCCCCACGAGTTGGGGCAAACTTACCCACAAACTTACCCAATCATTCCGTATTGTATAAATCGGGAAAATGTGCTGGTACTTCACGAATAGCTCAAATTATTATTTCTAATTTCTTATCATTTGCAGAAACTAACTTTTATTGCACAATGTTTACTTTTCGCCGGCGACCGCGACAAAACTATGGGCTCTACTTGTTGGCCGTTCAACTCTTCAGTGCACGCTACATTCCGCCGACCACTCTAAGTGCCATATTGCTACAAATTGCGATATTCCTTGGTTACATACCAATGTTGGGCCCACGTATGACAGGTGATTAATTGCTAATAAAGGCTGAAGAAAAAATATGAAGGGAAGAAAACGAAGAAAAAGCGAAGTAAGATGGGGAAAGGGGACTGAGGAAATATTTGTAATAGGTAATCTCTTTTTTTCCCGGTTTTTTGTCTCATTTTTTGAGATATGCCTTATCCATTGGATTTTTGATACAAATTGCTATGTTCCTTGGCTACATACCAATGTTGGGCCCACGTATGATAGGTGATTAATTGCTAATATAAAGGTTGAAGAGAAAATATGAAGAAAGGAAGAAAACGAAGAAAAAGCGAAATAAGATGAGGAAAGGGAACTAAGAAAATATTTGTAATAGGTAATCTCTTTTTTTTCCGGTTTTTTTCGCCTCATTTTTTGAGGAAATTGCGAGGGAAAGGGGTAAGGAAGGCTCTTGCTGCATTATTGCCTTATCCATTGGATTTTTGCTACAAATTGCTATATTCCTTGGTTACATACCATTGTTGGGCCCACGTATGACAGGTGATTAATTGTTAATATAGGTTGAAGAGAAAATATGAAAAAGGGAAGAAAACGAAGAAAAAGCGAAATAAGATGAGGAAAGGGAACTAAGGATATATTTGTAATAGGTAATCTCTTTTTTTCCGGTTTTTTGCCTCATTTTTTGAGGAAATTGGTGGGGAGGAGTGGGAGAGGCGTAACTATGAAACAAAAAAACTTTAACGCACCACATTTAAGCGTGTGATGTACTTAATCATAAAGCGATACGGTCTTGTTTCTTCGCATTCCTTTTATTTATTTATTTATTTTTTTTTTTTTTTTCATTCTTTTACTCGCCCTATTGATGAGAAATGCAAAAACTTACAGATGGATATCCAGTAAGTTCATGAAATTAGCTACTTTTTTTCACGGATTATTTTTTTAGAAGCAATGTGTCTTCTGCCATCTCGTGTGCTGTATCGTTCGGAATGGTTACGAATGCTTGCATCCGTATTTATGCATGCAGATGATATGCATCTT